TCTTGATAATTTTTTCTTTAACTTTTCAAAACAGTGTATGAAATGAAAAGATAAAAAACTGTTAAGATGCCGATTTTGTTTGATTTAATTGCTAACTTATTCACATATATTTCTTTTATTTGCATCAATTCAGTAAATCACTTTCTGTATCATTGCAATGTTTTCATTTTTGTTGTGTAAACATGGTCTTCTTGAGGCAAATTTCTATTCAGGAGCTATTATGAATTTAGAGTCATTCTTTAGCGTCATAATTTTAATCAGTCACTCTGCCAGAACAACTTTAAGCCACATTTTTACACACTTTGTAAATAATTCAGGCAAGATTGCACGACAATAGAAAAACGTTAGCTTTGTTAAACAGATCGGTCCATATAGCTGTCACCATATGTCACAGACTAGATAAATAGGGGCTCGTTGTTACCAAACCAGATAACCAAATCTATTTTCTTTAAGCCACTGCAATTTAAGACTAGGCAAACGCGCTATCAGTTAATGGATGGAATTCATCCTTTTCCATCAAACGATGACTGCTTTGGCTGTTTTCAAGGAATGGAAATGAAACCTCTGAGTTGTTTGGCAAGAGCAATATTTTCCAGGGTTGCCGGAGCAACTCTGCCTTGGTTTGGCTTGAAAAAATTGCCATGATGAATATTGGCATGCTGTGCTACAATGTGAGCTATGTCATTTATGAAAATGTTTGGTTTGTGTTTTAGACTACGCAAAATGTCTATATAACCTCTTGGGCTTTTGCCTCTAAGAAGTAATTTAGCAGCATAGATAATTCCATGTGGACAAGCCACCACCAGCCAACCACTCGGGCATCCAAAATTTTTTTTAAACATCTTGTTGAACTCTTTTTTTTGATTCCCAAGCCCATATTTAACACGATTTATTATGTCCAGCTTCCTGCCATTCCAACTAACACCAACCCAACACGCCAAACTCCTAAAGTCATCAACTTTACTTTACAACATTGTTTTGATTAAATTCTCCTCTGACAACTCCCTACAATCAAGCTCAACCTCCCCAGTTTCCCAATACAGTTTGTGGCACTTGGTGTTGTATAGGAAGTTGCTGCTTCGCGAATTAGGTCCTATGTATGGTGACCAATTTAGTAAATTGGGTTTTACCTCAATTGACAACAACTACCTTCCCTGAAAACCTTTGGTGAGAATAACCATTAAAACTGAGGCCCAAAAGTCTTCACAGTCTACTGCGTCATTATATCATTATCTAATGCGTCTTGGTTTCTAGTTGAGTTCAACTCCTCCTCACCTTCCCTATACTTAAAAACGACTTTCAGGTTCAGGTCCGCTATCAAAATAGGAGGGTAATATCCACAATCAACACAATTGAATGTATTTGACCTTCTGTGCCTCAAAATGCATGTATGCGTTCAATACTTTAAAATTCCAAATATTTTCAATTATAGCGCAAAATGTTCCAACGGCTAAATGGTTGATTTGGTTACTTTGTAAGAAGGAACAAACATCTGTACCCAGCAATAAAATATCATTAAAATTGTGCACCCCATCAGATACGTATAGTAATTAGAGCAGGTATCATATTTTTTAAAGTGCATGTCAATGCCGTCAATATAACCTTGCATGGTAAGGACCCATGCAGATGTCATTATTCTAGAAGGCCCTGACAAAATACTTTTGCATTCATGGCATACAATTTCCTTTTGAAATAACTTTTTGGAAAATTATCCTTCCTACAGTGGACATATTGTTGGGTGATAGGAAAAGGTACCTGCTTAGGAGTCAGAAAATAATCAATGATTTTTTTATGCCTCTTCAGAGTATGGCGGGTATACATCCTTTCCCAGCATCTCTGAGGTAGAGCCAAGGTGAATCTCTTTGAGAAGAGGATCTTTCTCAGATTTGCTAGTTAAATCTTTTTGCTGATTTATTTGATCTTTACCGATAACGTATTTCTGGTACAAGTACCATGTACCCATAGCTTTATGAATGCAGAAATGTTTGCTCTGACAATATCTGCATTCTAAACGATTGGACAAATTATTAAACATAACTATGATCTGTGATAGTGCTGGAAAATGGCTAAACTTTCCATCAAAAAAAGAAAGGTGCATGAAGTTAATATCAACCCATTCAACAATTGTGTGCGTATTTTTGATGCAGCAATGGCTTTTCAAATAAATACATTTATTTTTAGTTGCTGTTGTCAAAATTTTATGCTTGTTATTTCCACAAACTTCATTTACCCTTCATACAGATCTGCCAGTTATTTGCATTTCCTGCCTACAGGTATCCATCCACTTCACATGTTAAAATCTTATCGCCATTGACATGTATTAATTTTTGAACATGTATTGGGTAACAGATACCACAACCATTTAATCACCTTTTCCTTCATGCAAATGGCATTAACAGTGTTATTTATGTTATGTTTTGTTTCTTGATGGCGTTTGAGATTATTTTTGTTCATTACTAGCCCACATACGGTGCATGGCAACCTTTCCATGTTCTCTTTGTTATACCGTATTTTTTCAGAGTTCTTCATAAACAAATCATCCTGCAACTTCGCCAGTTGTTGGTCTCTTTCTTTGTAAAACTAGTAGATTTTTTATTTGGCCTAGGTAAATGCTTGTCTCTTTTGTGGCGCTGGAGATGGGCGTGAAATTTCACCTTTTGCTAGACTAAAGAATTGCATATGGGGCAGTGAAAGTGCATTACTTTGTTTTTTGCGTAAGTTTTTTCACTATGGGATTTTCTGCATGGAAGAATCTTATGTGTACGATAAACTACCATGCAATTGGAGATTCAGGGTTTTCACGCTCGCTTTTAGTGAAAATGCTAACTTTAGACATTTGGCCATCATCGGAGGAATAAGAAGAATCTTCCGAACCAGACACAAAAGCAACAACTTCCTCCCCTATCCGTACTTTTTTCTCATTTTTTCTAGCAGGAAACTTCACAGAGTGCAAAGGATCTGATGATTTTTTTCCTGAATACGGCATGAACAATTAAGAACATTATCCGTCTGTCTCACCTGAGCACTTGTCAAGCCTATTTTACCGCTCAACAACAAATGTATAGCAATAAATCTTAGAAAATGGTTATACAATGAAATTTTTCTTATGTAACTACATGGATTGTTGATGGAAATCTGTCGATTTAGCAATGTAAAAAGAACATTGTGAGCACAGGCTACAAGAGCAATCATAAATAAGGCAGCTACATCACATATATGGCAATCTGTTTGCAGGGGAAAGTTAGGCCAACACCTGCAAGAGCAGATCTGAGAAAAGATCCAGTAAAGATGCTTATATTGTTAGAGGTTGCATCATGGATATGGGTTACACGACAATCCCTAGCAATACTGGGTGTTCACAGAAGACGGAGATAATTGTTGAAAATTGTTACCAACCTTTCGAGTATGGGCCAATCAAGTGTTTAACAATAAAATAAAGTATTTGTTCAAAACTCGTAAACTCCCATCGAAAAATGTTTTCCTATTACCACTTAACCATTTGGTAGAGTTGATTCACCTAGCAAAGATTTATTACCCTCCAACCTTACATTGGCAAAGAAAGCAAGCCTATTTCGCAACTTATCTTGCCACCTTCTCCTAAGCAATGAAACAGCAGCCTCGATGTGAGCCATCATCACACTAATTGCAAAGGCATGTGTATCAGCAGATGTTTCATTTATGAGGTCTGCTGGCTACATCACCATCGACTTATCTGCCAACAATTTGAAGGCAGACACTCTTAGTCCTACGTTGGGAAGGTAATGTGAATCGGAGTGGCTCTGAATTAACGAAACATATTCCGTAGGTAACTGTATGTCAATTGAAGGGGTACCTTGTGGCTGGCAAATACTCTTATTATGGAGTTTGCTTAGCCAACAATTTTCGCTCTGAACGCTAAATCGCTCATGTTGCATTTCATGACGTGCCAAACAATAATTTATCCCCTTTATATCATAATTTTTCAATCTTATTTGCACATAATAATCATTTCTACTTTCCCAACCCTTGCTACGAAATACATCCCTGCCCCTTATCAAATTACTGTATGATGGAATTGTTACAAAATCGTTCTTTACAGCTACTTGATAATTCCGCGGAGTTATTTTTACAAACTTTTCATCACTTACTTTTGATGGTGCAATTCTCTCCAATGCTCCCCTTGGTGCCTGATACTCGCAGCTATCTTTGCTGTCCTCCACCGCAACGCAATCTTCCCTTTCATTCTATGATAAAATTGGGAGATTTCGAGGAGTAGAAAGTTGATAATGTTTCACTACCAAGATGAACTTTAATGGTCGTGTTTTCTTGAGGAACAAGAATTAACATGAAATGGATGGGCATAATAGAATATGGATACATAAATGAAAAATTTTTACCGATGCCAGCTTACCTCAAATTTTGGGTTTCCTCCTCCATGGTGCTCTTGTTATAGTAACGATATGTTTCTGCGAGAATTGAAAACATGCAGTTGTGTGAGTAGATTGGTACTTAATAGGGACTTAGCAACAAATAGACTTTGGCTGCAAATAAAAGACTATCAGGGTTTGAAACTCAATGACGAGCTTCTGACATTTAAGGCAACACATAATTGGTACATGAGAGTACAGTGATCTAGCATCATTCCTTTCGTTTATTCCTATTGACATCATTGTCAATTTGATCTTAAGGGTCATTTTGGTATTCTCTTCGTAAAATATCAGAAAAAAGGCAAGGAAACGATCTTGTAAGGCGCCAATGAAATACGCATGTATACTTACAGTACGATAATTATGTCGAACTGCTTTTCATGAAAGTTGGACAGAGCCAAATATTTTCCCTCTACTTTTATTGACACGTATCACAGGAGTCTTTGTTGGCTTGGAATGTCTCTCCCGATGTACACTTCGGTTCTTTT